TGTGATAGATCCGGGGGAAGGGGGGGGGAGGGGGTGTCTATGTGTCCTGGAATAGACTGTGGGTGTAGGCGTATGTTCGATTTTTGGGATGAGGTGGTCGATACTTTGGGGTGGGTCACAAAAGTGGGTGGGGTAGTTAAAACTTACATGTTCCGCTGACTCGTGCTCCTCCAATCTGATCGGCTCCAGGCGCTCCTCATCCTCCACCAGCAACGACATAACGTAACGTCGTTTTCACAGGTAAAACATCACTCAATATATATATATATATATATACATACAATATCCATCACAATCAAATAACTTATCCTTGATAAACACGCATCTGGTTTCCACAACGAATCTCCATGCTCTAAGGACCCATATCTCTCGACTTGTATTGTGTACAGGTAGCCACCGTATATCAACACAGAACAGGTAAAGCTGTCACTTTCTTTAAACACACACACATGTACACGTTTGTGTATTCTTTGACTGACTTCCTCGTGAAACAAAAACGTTATCAATATCCAATGACGTTGTCGGACTATAGTCGAATTATAGTAGTCAATGTTCTACTAAACCACCTGTCAGTCAGGACTCCGGCTCCTGCGTCTGTTACTGGTTCTCAGGGTACCGTTCTGGGGGCAATAACGTGCGGTCAGAAATGCATTGTTTCAAGGGTATCGATCTAGTGTAAATATTTCACGTAATACAGATATCAATACCTGTAATTAACAGGTAGCGACCACACTAGCTGTAACTGTACAGAGGCGTATGTATCCCTACGCACGCCAAACAAACAATATCCGTTTTAAAAGTCCATTTCTTAATGCAGGGGAAATATTAACTCCTTAAATAGAATATTTTTCTTAGGCATTAGGCTTTTAAAGGTATGTCATGTACGTATATTCGACAGAGGTCAAAGGTCGGGTTTGACAGGTAGGTACACAGGTAAGTTTAAATATTTGTTTGGTAACAGTTAACAAGCGGACAATAATGACGTGACTGGGCGTCTGTCAGGTATTCTATAAACGGACAAATTGAGTTGTACAGGTATTCATTAAACGGTTAGATTGAGTTATACAGGTATTCAGTGAGTAAAAAATGTATTCAATATTAAATGGTTACAAATAAATTCATTGATGTAAGCATTTATTACAATTTTTTGAAGTTAAATGATAAATTACACAGTTATGTTATAGATATTCACCTTATATTAACTTGTTGTGTATGAGTTAACCGTTAAAGAAATGACAGAGAAGTAAAACTGTTTTATCATCAAAACTATACATGGGGATCAACGAGGATATCGTCCGAGGAATAACTCAAGTTATAGCTAGACAGAAGTTTAAGTGTTCCGGCGGTAAGAAAGAGAAAAGTAATAGCGTTGTGGACGGCAGACAGAGAGCAGTACTAAATTTTGCGGACGATTAGACAGAGGACAGCATTAGTTGAACGGACGGTTAAACAGAGGACAGCACTAGTTTTACAGACGGTTAGACAGAGGACCGTATTAGATTTACGGACGTTTAGACAGAGGGCAGTACTAAATTTACGGACGGTTAAACAGAGGACTGCACTAGTTTTACGGACGGTTAGACAGAGGACTGTATTAGCTTTACGGACGTTTAGACAGAGGGCAGTACTATATTTACGGACGATTGGACAGGGGACAGTACTAATTTTGCGGACGATTAGACAGAAGACAGCATTAGTTTTACGGACGATTAGACAGAGGACATCACTAGTTTTACGGATGGTTAGACAGAGAGAGCAGTACTAGCTTTATGGACGGTTAGACAGAGGACAGTACTAGTTTTACGGACGGTTAGACAGAGGACAGCATTAGTTTTAAAGATGGTTAGACAGAGGACAGCACTAGTTTTACGGACGGTTAAACAGAGGACAGTGATAGTTTTATGACGGTAAGACAGGGGACAGTTCTAGTTTTACGGACGATTCGACAGAGGACAGTACTAAATGTACGAACGGTTAGAGAGAGGACAGTAAAGGTTTTACGGACGATTAGACAGAGAACAGTACTAGTTTCACGGACGATTAGACAGAGAGCAGTACTAGTTTTACGGACGATTAGACAGAGGACAGTACTAGTTTTACGGACGGTTAGACAGAGGACAGTACTAGATTTACGGACGATTAGACAGAGGACAGTGCTAGTTTTATGACGGTTAGACAGATGACAGCACTAGATTTATGGCGGTTAGACAGAGGACAGTATTAGTTTTACGGACGGTTAGATAGAGGACAGTACTAGTTTTACGAACGGTTAGACAGAGAGCAGTAATAGTTTTACGGACGATTAGACAGAGGACAGCACTAGTTTTACGGATAATTAGACAGATGACAGTACTAGTTTTATGGCGATTAGACAGAGGAAAGTATTAGTTTTACGAACGGCCAGACAGAGAGCAGTAATAGTTTTACGGACGATTAGACAGAGGACAGCACTAGTTTTACGGATAATTAGACAGATGACAGTACTAGTTTTATGGCGATTAGACAGAGGAAAGTATTAGTTTTACGAACGGCCAGACAGAGAGCAGTAATAGTTTTACGGACGATTAGACAGAGGACAGCACTAGTTTTACGGATAATTAGACAGATGACAGTACTAGTTTTATGGCGATTAGACAGAGGAAAGTATTAGTTTTACGAACGGCCAGACAGAGAGCAGTAATAGTTTTACGGACGATTAGACAGAGGACAGCACTAGTTTTACGGATAATTAGACAGATGACAGTACTAGTTTTATGGAGATTAGACAGAGGAAAGTATTAGTTTTACGAACGGCCATACAGAGAGCAGTAATAGTTTTACGGACGATTAGACAGAGGACAGCACTAGTTTTACGGATAATTAGACAGATGACAGTACTAGTTTATGGCGATTAGACAGAGGAAAGTATTAGTTTTACGGAGGGTTAGACAGAGAGTAGTACTAGTTTTACGGACGATTTGACAGAGGACAGTATTAGTTTTATGACGGTTAGACAGATGACAGTACTAGTTTTACGGACGGTTAGACAGATGACAGTACTGGTTTCACGGACGGTTAGACAGAGAGCAGTACTAGTTTTACGGACGATTAGACAGAAGACAGTGCTAGATTTACGGATGATTAGACAGATGACAGTACTAGTTTTTATGGCGGTTAGACAGAGGACAGTATTAGTTTTACGGACGGTAAGATAGAGGACAAAACTAATTTTACGGACGATAAGACAGAGGACAGCACTAGTTTTACGGACGGTTAGACAGATGACAGTACTAGATTTATGGCGGTTAGACAGAGGACAGTATTAGTTTTACGGACGGTTGGATAGAGGACAGTACTAGTTTTACGGACGGTTAGACAGAGAGCAGTAATAGTTTTACGGACGATAAGAAAGAGGACAGCACTAGTTTTACGGATGATTAGACAGATGACAGTACTAGTTTTATGGCGGTTAGACAGGGGACAGTATTAGTTTTTACGGACGATTAGACAGAGAGTAGTACTAGTTTTATGGACGATTTGACAGAGGACAGTATTATTTTTATGACGGTTAGACAGATGACAGTAATGGTTTCACGGACGGTTAGACAGAGAGTAGTACTAATTTTACGGACGATTAGACAGAGGACAGTGTTAGTTTTATGGCGGTTAGACAGAGGACAGTATTAGTTTTACGGACGGTAAGATAGAGGACAGAACTAATTTTACGGACGATTAGACAGAGGACAGCACTGGTTTTACGGACGGTTAGACAGATGACAGTACTAGTTTTATGGCGGTTAGACAGGGGACAGTATTAGTTTTTACGGACGATTAGACAGAGAGTAGTACTAGTTTTATGAACGATTTGACAGAGGACAGTATTAGTTTTATGACGGTTAGAAAGATGACAGTACTGGTTTCACGGACGGTTAGATAGGGAGTAGTACTAGTTTTACGGACGATTAGACAGAGGACAGTGTTAGTTTTATGGCGGTTAGACAGAGGACAGTATAAGTTTGACGGAGGGTAAGATAGAGGACAGAACTAGTTTTACGGACGATTAGACAGAGAGCAGTACTAGTTTTACGGACGAATAGACAGAGGACAGCACTAGTTTTACGGACGGTTAGACAAAGGACAGTACTAGTTTTACGGATGATTAGACAGATGACAGTACTAGTTTTTTGGCGGATTGACAGAGGACAGTATTAGTTTTACGGACGGTTAGACAGAGAGGAGTTCTAGTTTTACGTACGATTAGACAGAGGACAGTATTAGTTTTATGACTGTTAGACAGATGACAGTATTAGTTTTACGGACGGTTAGACAGAGAGTAGTACTAGTTTTACGGACGATTAGACAGAGGACAGTATAAGTTTTACGGACGGTTAAACAGAGGACAGTGATAGTTTTATGTCGGTAAGACAGGTGACAGTTCTAGTTTTACGGACGATTCGACAGAGGACAGTACTAAATGTACGAACGGTTAGACAGAGGACAGTAAAGGTTTTACGGACGATTAGACAGAGAACAGTACTAGTTTCACGGACGATTAGACAGAGAGCAGTACTAGTTTTACGGACGATTAGACAGAGGACAGTACTAGTTTTACGGACGGTTAGACAGAGGACAGTACTAGATTTACGGACGATTAGACAGAGGACAGCACTAGTTTTACGGACGGTTAGACAGAGGACAGTACTAGATTTACGGACGATTAGACAGAGGACAGTGCTAGTTTTATGACGGTTAGACAGATGACAGCACTAGATTTATGGCGGTTAGACAGAGGACAGTATTAGTTTTACGGACGGTTAGATAGAGGACAGTACTAGTTTTACGAACGGTTAGACAGAGAGCAGTAATAGTTTTACGGACGATTAGACAGAGGACAGCACTAGTTTTACGGATAATTAGACAGATGACAGTACTAGTTTTATGGCGATTAGACAGAGGAAAGTATTAGTTTTACGAACGGCCAGACAGAGAGCAGTAATAGTTTTACGGACGATTAGACAGAGGACAGCACTAGTTTTACGGATAATTAGACAGATGACAGTACTAGTTTTATGGCGATTAGACAGAGGAAAGTATTAGTTTTACGAACGGCCAGACAGAGAGCAGTAATAGTTTTACGGACGATTAGACAGAGGACAGCACTAGTTTTACGGATAATTAGACAGATGACAGTACTAGTTTTATGGCGATTAGACAGAGGAAAGTATTAGTTTTACGAACGGCCAGACAGAGAGCAGTAATAGTTTTACGGACGATTAGACAGAGGACAGCACTAGTTTTACGGATAATTAGACAGATGACAGTACTAGTTTTATGGAGATTAGACAGAGGAAAGTATTAGTTTTACGAACGGCCATACAGAGAGCAGTAATAGTTTTACGGACGATTAGACAGAGGACAGCACTAGTTTTACGGATAATTAGACAGATGACAGTACTAGTTTATGGCGATTAGACAGAGGAAAGTATTAGTTTTACGGAGGGTTAGACAGAGAGTAGTACTAGTTTTACGGACGATTTGACAGAGGACAGTATTAGTTTTATGACGGTTAGACAGATGACAGTACTAGTTTTACGGACGGTTAGACAGATGACAGTACTGGTTTCACGGACGGTTAGACAGAGAGCAGTACTAGTTTTACGGACGATTAGACAGAAGACAGTGCTAGATTTACGGATGATTAGACAGATGACAGTACTAGTTTTTATGGCGGTTAGACAGAGGACAGTATTAGTTTTACGGACGGTAAGATAGAGGACAAAACTAATTTTACGGACGATAAGACAGAGGACAGCACTAGTTTTACGGACGGTTAGACAGATGACAGTACTAGATTTATGGCGGTTAG